GCCACTGCTGGGGAGGAGGTAAGGAACTTAGGAGTAAAGTTAAGCCCAGAAAGAAAGGAGGGGTGGGGGAAGGTGTTTTTATGATTTAGCTTTTATTTCTCATTACCCTACTCTGATCTGATTGGTAATAAGCTAATTTCTCAAAGTCAAGTGTGTTTGGCCCATGACAGTAATTGATGAGTGACCTCCCTGTCCTTACCTTGACCCATGAGCCTTTCGTTATATTTTCAGTTCCCTGTCTAGCTGAGGAGTGGAGCGATAGAGCAGCTTTGGTAGGAACCAGCCATCCAGGCAAAATTGGTATGGAACACAAACTTGTCTTTCCTTATGCCCATTTCAAATTTTCCACTTTCTCGCACAGGAGTTATTAGCCAATACGGATTTGTCTATGTGTGATGAGCTTACATTACAACCATTACCAACTGTCATGACCCCAAAGCTCCCTTGGTTTTTTTTTTTGAAAGAAGTGTTGGTGTTCACTCTTTTACTGCCTTCTCTGCCAACTGAGGCAAAGAACCTTTAATGCACTGGCAGTCCCCTGTCATGATTTTCACCTCTTACACACCAAGTCTAGAACTACAATGAATTTAAGTAAAAGCTTAAAAAAAACAAAAAAAAGAATTAAAAAACATATAACATTACCAACTGCTAAATTATGCATTATCTTTGTGTGTAAGTCAGAATCTCTCAGCTGTGCAAACTGGGTTGCAGACATAAAGAACTCCATCATACTGGGAGGGAGTCGGTTAATACTGTCCTGTGCCAGACCAGATGGCAGACCTCAAACTTATCTGTAACCTTTTCACTGAGTATATGCAGGACAGTAACAATGGTTGTCCATGAATGGACCCTTTCACTGATCAGACATAACTAGTTATGTGAGCATGATCACCCCAGCTCTCTATTCCCTCACCACTGCTTCCTCATACTATTGCTCTAGGCACAGCTCACTGAAAATAGAGACAATTTCCTGGTAGAAGGAGCACTGAAGAAAGAAGGAAAAACATAATATGGGTGGGTGGAGGGGACAAGTTAGTCATATCACTTCCCCTACCTTTAACTCATGCTATTACATCACTCAATCTACATTTAAGCAAAGTATCCCCCACACAGAAACCAAGATTTAAAGTGTATACCACCCATTACACAACTAAAAGCACATTAGTTAAAATGTAACCTACCAATTTAAGGAAGAATACTGTTCAAACAAAGATCTGGGAAATAATTCATGAAAGACAAATTTCAATTCAGCAAAAATTACAGGGGGGTTGGGGTTGGGTGGAAACACCTTTTCTTATTCAGCAATGCTTAGAAGACACTGAAGACAAGAACATAAGTGCAGACAGACAACACTTAGTACCACCAAGACAAGATTCCGAGACTACAGAGCAATAGTGTTTGAAGCCATTAATGTTCACAGCATCCGAAGAGATAGCATTAAGAATTGTTATGAAAGGGAGAAAATTAAACAAATCACGATGACAACTAATAAAACCATGATTTTAGACAACCCAGGGAAGTCCAGTCAACTCTCCTGAATAGAGACAAAGTCAGAATGAGAACAATAATGATGGTTCTAGCCGGTAGAACCATGGAGAGTTATCAGCATTGTCATGATGCTGATACATCTTCAACTCTTGAGAATTTCCTACAGCACAGACCGCTCGAGGAAGAGGAAGAGAAAGACACCAAGGTGCCTGTCCAATTGCTCAGGCAAAAAGATCTGAATGATCTATGACCATCAATCAGTGTATTCCTGCTCTCCCTTCCAGCCTCCAGTTCTTGGCTACAATCTCTCTACTGCATATCAGCACACATCAGACCCCTCTGAGAACATGCAGTTCACCAAAATAACACAGACTGAGCCCCAGAATAAAAAGGGGGGGAGGTAGTGACAGAGGGAAAGGTAGTCATATCCTCCCATTTTTGGTGGCTGCGGAATTGCAGCCTCTTTCCATAACATTTGTCAATATTATCAGTAAGAAAATATACTAGACTATATATACATTTAGTGGGCCAGTGCATGGAAGTTCTTTTATGGGATTTCCCTACATCTCCAGGTCATAGAGAGCCCTTAAATACACAGCAGAATTATTTTTGAAGATAGAATACTGAAGTTAGTAACTGCAAAGCTTTATATCCTATTTCAGACAAGCACTTCATTCTATCAAAATAGTCTTCAGTTTAACTTAGTTTTATTGGAATCACAAGAGGAAGAGCATAACATTAAGTTGCGGAAGAAAACATTATTTTTTAAAGTACCTATACTGCCTGGAGAGAACAGAAAGGATCGGTCAAAAGGGCAGAGCTGCCAAATCAGTGACATCTTTCATAAGAGCCATAGCAGCAAAGAAAAATTTTAAAGGTCAGCTCAACTACAGTCAGTCTCAAGGAAGACAGGCAAAAAGAAAAGAGCTAACGGAAAGTACTACGTGAGAATAACAAATATCAAAAAATATTTGCTATGGCCATAAAGTAATAGCCTCTCTCACTTTCTGCAAAAAGATCAGTGTTTTTTTCCCCACATGAGCACTAGGACTTTTTCAAAGGCTACACTCCCAGGGGGATGTCCTCTATTATAAACAGCACCACTGAGTCAGCTGTGTGGGTGGGAGGACAGAATTCAGCCCTACTAGTAGAAGGTGTTTTAGTCCACAACCTAGCCATGAAGGTTAATAAATCCCTAAACAGTAGTTTTCAGGCATTAAATGAATGAAAAAGGAAATTAACTCTGTCGGTACCCAATGATTCCACCAAAGAATCCTTGTGTCTGCCCATTTATAAGGTGAATTTCATTTAAAAACCACCACCACTGAATCCACCACAGCCGCCAAACAAATGTGATTTTCCCCATTTCCATTCACTAGTGAAGAGAAAAGAGTGGCTTCGCAGTAAAAAGTCCCATCACATAACAGTTCTAATACTGAATAGTTGAATACCAGTTCTGTAAACTTGGGGAAAATTTCCGAGTTGAGCACCTTCCTCAAACTACTGAAATTGAAAAGAACTGTCAGAGCAAAAACAAACAGCGCTGTTAATGAGTGTAGAGGTTTCTGTATTCAAGAGAAGAGCAGAATTTGGCTCTCAAATTACCAACATTTTCTGGTCAGCTTCTTCAAAGGAATTGCTTATCAATTTATCCGGGCAGAGAAACAATAGCCACATTCTTATGAGAAGCAATCATCAGGTCTAAAAGGCAGCTCTCACATGTCTCTGAGAAAAGCTTTTGGGGGTGATTTTGATCCTTGCAGTCCATGGCTAAAAGCTCAGAAAGCAACTGAGAAAGCATCTGCAACACTTGCAGCAATATAGATTAGCTTCCCGTGAAGACAAAGCAACTTCTTGACTTCTGTCTCTTGATTCACCAACATCAAGTTTTAAGTGCAGTAGGTCATTTGTTGATTACTCATGCCGTATGAAGAACTGAAAGATCTGGATGACAAGAAGGGCAATCTTACCGATGCCTCAACCATATCACTCCTGAAGTAAGAGAAGCTGAGATCTAGAAGGAGACCTGCAAAATCAACATCCTGCATTTTTAAAGACTAAGAAATGCAATATTCAAGTTTTTCTTATGTGATGCGAGTTACACAAGCGATTAATTCAAGTACATTATCTTTTTAGCCCGAGGGACAAAAATGCAATACTGCCTTTCCACATTAGAAAAAGAACCCCAGCATGCATAATGGTCAGAGAACCAAAAACCCAAAATTAAGACTTGTCACACCACAGAAGGAAAATACTGACAAACAAACAATATAATCAATGATTGTCATAGGCTGGCTCCAACACTTAGCCCTACAGCAATAATGGAAAGGTTTGCATTTTAACTTTCCAAAGATAAAGGACACAGTTTTATCTACCTCTGTTTTGCTTCACTCAATATAAATCTCCAATAAAAATATATTGACCACCAACTTTTATACAAAAAGAAAGTTTACCTAAACTGTCACTCATTCATTTCTCACCATTTCAAATGATGATTTAAACCTAAGTGTGACCTTGAGAAGTTGATCATTAGACTGACAAGCCTGCATCATTCACTCTTTACATCAGATGAACTTTTGCTGCAGATGGGTAGAGGCATGTTTTCAGCACAGCTCATTCAAATTAGTGTTAATTATTGATTAGAATAAGCTCAGCTTGTTCCAGTTTTCTCTCATAAAAGAGAACAAGTACAACAAAAGAGAATTAGTACAACTGACTTCTGAGCAGGCTACATTTCTGTTTCAGAGAATATTTCTAGAAGACAGCTTCTAGTTCAAGTTCTCTAAATTCACTGGAACATTTCCCCCATTTCCTCACACAAGTCACCAGCACATTCAAAGTTCCCCAAACTGGCTGTGTTTTTACTGAAAAGTTTCCTCTCTGATTAAGCAACAACACAAGGCACCAAAATCACAAATGAACATCTGCTATTACTGTATCCCAGACCAGCTGTTCTTCGGTGTTGTGCACTGCTTCAGAGTTCTCCCTGTCATATATTAAACAAGAATATTAAATAGCAGCAAATTACTGGTATAGAATAGCTCCAGATAAGCACTCAAATCACTCCACGCATTTGTAGGTATTAAGTGTACTGTAACAGGAATGCAATCGTATCAGTTGTACTTTTTTCCACAGCTGTGCACTCCTCAAGATTTAAATTAAAAGCAATATATGAGATTTACTTAGAATAAAAACATTAACTATAAAACATTAAAATCCATGACTGGCTTACGAGGAAGATATGAGGAAACCCCTTTAAAAAAAAAAAAAGCAAGTACACATTCATTAAAAAGATTCCTTGCAGACAGAAACTAAAACAGAGAAAGTAGCCGCCACAGCATGTGCAGTCCATGAAAAAGCCATTTTAATCTTTAATCAGCCCCACTGCATTGAAGATGTTAAGCTATGAGCGTCAGCACAAGACGGGGAGGGGGAGAAGGGGAAAAAAAATAATAGTTTGAAGCAAAAAACCCCCCACCTCTAACCAAAATCTTGAATGAATGACACACTACCTCAGTGATTGGTTGCCCTTGTGACATCAAGTCCAGTTCCTGAGGTCTTGTCACCTTATCGATATCCAAGGAGTCCATGCTGGAAGCTGCAGAGGTTATGCTGGAACGGGAGGAGTTACTGATTGAGCGCACCTCAGCATCACTCACTGTGCCAGCAGATGCTGTCCTCCTGTGCTGAGCAGTAACTACTTGTTTGGTGTCTTCTGCAACAGACTGTTGGGCTGCCTCATCCATGCTTAAAGAGGCCTTCTCTAACTGTGCAGTGATGTCATCCAAAGACACGTTGGCATGTGATGTTTTAGTCGCCTTACCAGATGAGGAGGATAATCCTTTCATGCTGCTGTGCTTAGTAGAAGGTCGGCTAGCAGGTGGTTTCTGAGCTTTGGGTTCTGTGGCAAGGCGTTTCACTGCAGCATTGTTTGCTGAATGAGACCCAATGCTGCTGAGCTCCTGCTCTATGGAACAGAGATCAGCCATGAGGGCATCTAGATCCACGGTCTCCCCCTGATTCAGGGCTTCTGCAACAAACAAGAGTTTTCAGTATGTGCAGAATTACTTCACTTGTCTGTGCAACTCTTCACTTTGTGTTATCAAATTTAACAGTTAGGGTAATGGAGCAAAGGAAGATGTTGGTTCTTTTCCCATCTGTATTGCAAAATCTCTACTCACTGCTAAGCAGAAATTTATTTGCACTACTACTCTTGACCAGTCTAAGGGCAATTAAAAAAAACACAACTATTTAGGTTAAACACATTTGCTGACAGAAGAAATCAATGAATGTTCAGATTACATTTAAAAAGTTTAAACTGCTGTCTTGTGAACAGAATCTAAAAATACATTTGTATAATACCATGCCTCAACTTTTCTAAAAAGTGAAATCATTTTATGAAGCAATTTCTGCTAAAGCAATGCAAGGTATGTGACACTGCTTTAAAAAAACCCACAAAATACTACACACATACTCAAGCCTTTAAATTAAGGCTTCCTGTATTACAACTAGGGGAAACTATTTTAAGACAAAGAAAACCACGACTTTTGTTTAACATCATTCTGTAGCTATACTCCTACAAGATGCTCTTTCTTCCAATTTAACAGAACCACATCAATTCATTCTTTCATGAGACCAGATCCTGGAACGTTTATCCCCATACAAACACTAGACTACAATTCTCAGATAGTAGGTGCTGTAAAAGATACTGGTTTAGGATACTCAAAATTCTCTGCCATCAGAAAGCAATATCTTCAGCAAACATGCTCACACTTCAGCCAGAAGTGTATTTAAATGATTTTATATTTTACCATGTTCTCATCTATAGCTGGAAGAAGTTTTTTTTTCCTAAAGTAGTATTTGAGGGGGTAAATAATTCAACAAACCATTCAAATTGTACATGGAGAAGCGATATGAGAAGTTGGCAAGATTGGTTTCCTGACGGAGAGGTGATCTCTTCACTGGTGCCACAGGCTTGTCTGTATCCAAACTCTGAAAAAGACCAAAAAAAAGAGCAGAATGCAGTTTGACGAGGAACCGGACAAGCAAATCTTTGAGATGAATGAAAATTAATATTCTCCGAGATAAATTTTTCAAATGCTCCTGGTATATTAAAAAAAATATCCTTCTCAGGCTTCAGGCTGAAAACATACATCACCATACCACAGAGATTTAGCTTCAAATATTCAATGGAGAAAAGATGTTACACACATTCTGGTTTCCAGAGTCTGGAATGAAAAGGACAGAAGTATATTCCAAATGCATTTGTAAGTAGTGTTACATACTAGCTAATTTTTAAACAGAAATCTGGCCTACCTGCAACAATCTCTCTCTAGTGAATTGCACAAGTATCTGAACATTCAAACCGTGGCATCCTCTCTAAGAAATGCATCATTAGCTTATGAGCATAATTGTGGCACAAGCACACAGAAGTATTCAATGAAGAATTCTATTTTATTAAAAGGGATTTTAAATTGGGTAAATTTGGACATTTTTCTCAATAAGTCTTTCCTGTGAAAAATGTTAAACTGTGAAAGCAAACCCCAGCCAATTTATGCAGGGTAAGTTCTTTTTTAGGAAAACTAATATAGGTTAAAAAAAAGAGACACCTTTCTACCTGATACATTGAATTGCTATGTTAGAATGGCTAATATGGGCATAATATTACAATAAATATCAGCATTTTTGTAAGTTGCAAGCAGTAGGGCACTATGATCCAGCTGGTGACCAAGAGGTGCATGTTGCATGACAGGGTCCATAGCTGCTGCCCCTGGAGTGACAAGTGTTACATGGGGAATCTGGCTCTTGTTGCTGAAGCTCCACAGGCCTGCAGGTGGTGTGAAATTAAGCAATGCTTGTATTGATAAAGCTTTCCTGAAGATATGCTTGTCTGAAAGGAAAGCATCTTCTAGCTCCAACAAAACAAAGTTTCTCATCTAAGCTTTTTATTTCCATTTTTTACACCTTTACTCAAGCCTTTGTTGAAAATCAAATGCACATTTTTTCCCCCCTAATATTTATTTTTACTAAACTCTTTTCTCTCCTCAGTTTGGCTTGAACTTAAAAAAAAAAATAAATCACTTTGAGAAGTCAATCATCACTTAATGAGGAGAAGCCAGTGATGGAGCCTTGTCTTCCATCAGCTGGAAAAAAGCCTCACTTCTAGTACCTCTGATGGAGCTTACATATTGTCCCACACAGAATAGCTGGAGAGAATAAAATAATAATAGAACTTCTAACAGGTTGCCCAGAGCGGCTGTGGCTGCCCCCTCCCTGGCAGTGTTCAAAGCCAGGTTGGACGGGGCTTTGAGCAACCTGGGCAAGTGGAAGGTGTCCCTGCCCATGGCTGGGGGGGTTGGAACTAGATCTTTTAAGGTTCCTTCCAACCCAAACCAATCTGTGATCCATTCTATGATCTATCTATAACCCTAGAGATGGCAGTAAAACTGGAGAAAGAGGCAAGTTAGGGCTCATTGCTTCAGACTGAACCCATAGACTTCCACAAAAAATTTCTTGTAGAGCAAAATATTCTGTTGAAAAGCATCTGAAATGTGTTTTACTGAATTTAATAAAGATTGTTTCACATCCTTGGAAACACATGTGATACACTCTCACTATTATCAGAGCATGTTCTACACAACACATTATGATGCTAAATTAGCAGTCTGGAAAACCACAAGAGCAACAACAGCTTAGTTTTGAACGATCTTGAGAAGCAAGGTAAGATTTCCTTCATTTAACCTGCACCATAGAGCAGCATTAACTAGCTAGGGCAGGATGTTAATGCACTCAGTATCAGTGCCAAACACCGCTCACACGTGCTGCAGATTTTGTGACTACATTTTATAATGCTTTTATTAGACCAACAGTTAAAGAGGGCAAAGTGAATTCAAACGATCTCATGGGCATCTTAACTATTACAAATCTTTTAAAAAGCACTTTAATCTGTAAAGGAATCTGGATCTTACTTTCAATCCTCCCCCCCAATAAACATTTAAGAAATCTAAAAAGAAAGTTAAAGTTCAAGAAACTCAGGGACAAAAAACCCTTTCCTTCTTCTGCTCTTAGGAGTCCAACTGATAAACACAAACAAATGCTGAGACTACAGGAGAAAGCACTTTGAAGCTCATTAGCTCTAACCAGCCCCTTCTATTGGGACTTCACTGGGACAGCTGCATCAAGACACAATCACTTTCCAGCAAACTGAGACATAAGCAACTGCATTAATTTGTTTATACAAAATCGTATGAAGTCATTAAAGTTTCAGAGAAAATGTAATTTCTCAGTAGTCACAAGAGACAGAAGGGCAACTGTCAGGCTATGTTGCAGACTGTACTGTACAGCAACATGCAAGTGAGAAACTATTAACATGGGTCCTCCCCTTAACCATCTGTTAGTAGTTTTTCAGAATTTTGCATGGATCAGCACACAAATTGAGAAATCACCATAAAGTATGTCAATAGCGTAGCTGTAAGCCCCAAGTAAAGTATGCTTATATTTCTAGGATGCTTATACCTGAAAAAAACCCCAACAATAGGGCAGAGAACAAAAGGTCTAAGGCTAATTACCCTTTGCGCTCCTCTGTGAAGATCCTTACTTGAGGTAATGTACAGAGCCCATGCCGTCAAACCTGCTCCCACTTACCACTACAAATCCTTCACTGGAAGTTCTAAACCCAAGAATTATGACATACAGATTTATTTCACGTGGTTTTCCATTCCTCTCAAAAGGCAGGATTCCTTATTGCCCTGCATGCACAAGTTCAGAGAAGAACAATTTTCCCCTAGAGTGCAATCTACATTTAGACATTGTAGGCAGGGATTTAACCAGAAGATAACAGAGATGCACCCGAACTCAAAATGCTGTCACATGATTAGCTCAATTTTCCTTCAGTCTGGGTAAATTGAAGATGAGAAAAGCTCCCTCTTCTCTAGGTTACTGAAACTTGAGGTATCATACCTTTGCAACAAAGAGGGAGAAGATGAAATATGTTATTCAGGAGGGCCCACTCACACGGCTGGAAAAAACAGGCCACTTCTCTGTGACTGCCTGCTATATCACTCCAGGAGTCTGGCATACCATGCAAAACGCAAGATCTGCTTGTGAAGGAAAGGAAAAGCCCTAGGAAGTAAGAACTGCCAAAAGAAGATGTTCTATCAGCTGCGCCTCTGCTGCAGGAAGAGTACTCTGGAATAATGGTGAGTCCTCTAGTGACTGTATCTGGGCGCTTTACCATGTCATCAGTGGCAACATTCACTATTTCTTCTTCCTTCTTGCTGTTCAGGTGCAACAGATAAATGCTGTCATAGTTGGACAATGTCCAACCACATGTTTGGAGACATAACCTACATCTAGCCAGCTAAAGTCAGTGTTTTTCTACACGCATTAGGACAAAATGCCAATTCCATAGTTAGAAGGAACCATACCGTTTGGAAAAGGTCAAACTAAAAGGTTGTGAAAAATTAATTTAACAACTTTAAGATGGGGAAAACAAGCCAATTTAGAAACGTTTAACTGAGCAAGTCACATGCTACAGTTTACCTTGCTGCCCGTAGCAGTACTAAGTAGTCAGTACCCAACTGAAAAAAAAAGTAATACTTGTAAAGAATTATTCTTTAAGATAATTGAAACCTCCCTAACCTGTGTGAGTTTGTCCAGTTCCCCCAACCAGGCCCCAAACATCTTGTCCAGATCCTGATCTTCCTTATCACTATCTTCTTCCGCACCATGGTCAAGTTCTTCATCTGATAATTGCTCCATCTGAAAAAAAGAAAAAAGATACTCAAATTGTATCAGTGCCTAAGGAAACTGATGTCAGCTACTGTTTCTGAAAAAAATGTTCTGAAGGCAAAGCACATGCCTGTCTGTAAGCTTTATAAAAACTGCACACATTCACAGTTTATTATACTGCTCACAAGGAGTTCGTGTGAAAACGGCAATGGATAATTACAAAGCCATTCTTGCAGCTAATTTTTGTCAGATTCATGCAGAAAAAGATGAAGAACAGTCTACATTTAATACACCATCAGAAATTATTTCATGCTAGCCTTGCACGTGCATTCATTGCCAGCTATTGTTGGCAAAGTCTATTGATTTTACATGACAAAAACTCAACTCTTGTCCAAGGAATTCAGCTGATCACGGTTAAGCAACACCATTCAACCCACAGGAAGTGCAGTCTCACTGCACTGCAAATAGCTGACTCTACACATCTGTAAAGAGAAATGCTTAAACAGGCCACAGAGAATGTCAGCAATACATCCCATGAGACAGTTCAAATCTTGGACACTGTCCAGATCACCTCAGTGATAGTGCACAATTTTCACCCAACAAAGAACTCCTCCCTGGAAGCAAAGAGTCACCATTACACCTATCAGACCCTCCTTCATTCAACAAATTTGAGTGACCAAGATAAAGACTTGAGTTCTCCAAAGCTTCTCTTATCACCTCAAAGGAAATGAAATCTTTTGTTAAACAAGCCTCTATTCTGTTCCCCAAACTTGTTCTCCAAGCCCCTTATATGGAGCTAGGACATATAATGCCTTTCTGTCTACATCCACACTGTTAACTCAGGATTAATTCAGAATGAAAATTTACATACTTGGGGAGAAAATGACAAAGGTAATGATCTGGGAGTAATCAGGCACTACAGAAGAGTAAAACCTGGAGATTTGATATAGAACGTCCAGAAACAGATTGACAGCAAGAGCTACAGAGAAAAATTCAGTGTGCTGTAGGGCTTGATTTGGTCAACTCATGGGCTACACACTAATTTGCTACACAGCCTTCAGAAAGCACCAGTTTACATTTCATAGATTTAAAGGCAAACTTTCTAAATGGTAGTCTTCAGGAAAAGAAATCTTAGTCTGGAAGACATCACAGTATTGCAGAGCTGAACTGATGAGAAATGGTACAAAAGAGGATAAAGGTGATCTCAGAGAAAACCTGTTCAATCCGTTTTTGATCTTATATGACAATAGTTCATGCAAAAAGCCTCCATGATTTAAAAATAGCCTTTCCTTCTCTTTATATATTTCATATATTTCACTTTACCTTGATAAAATAGTTGGGGAACAGGGGACTTCAGGGGTGATCTACAATTCTGAGGTCAGCAGAAGCCAAGACCTCCCACAGATGCAAGATACTGCCATCCAGTTGCTCTAGACAAAGCTGCTTCAGTTTCCTACTAAGATTTTACTCTTGTGGGAGAGCACAATGCAGCTGCTTATCTTAAAAGGGACAATAATATTAAAGCTAACCTGGCACGGCATACTACACCAAACAAACACTAAACAGATTAAATTCACCATCTGATTCTTATCTCTTCCAATGCTTGAGTCCTGTTAAGCACCTCTAGCTCTCCAAGGAAGGGAAGGAAGCTCTTCCTAAAAATCTAAGAGTGATGCTAAAAATTAAAAAACTGCCAATATGCTTATGTAGTAAAGCTGTATCCTTCCACCAATACTGCACCAGTTTTTATGTTCTGTAAGTCAGGCATGCCTCCCGCTGCAAGATTCCTCTCCATGCTGTCACCTGAAAGCCCTCCCGCATACATAAATGAAGACAGCAGGGTAGCAGCAACTCATACTCTGCCTGAACCTCTGCAAAACAAACAGAAGCTGGATTCCACTTTCATACCCCTTCAAAGCTTTGCTTTACTACTCCTTAGGCTTTTACAATATTTCTGGTCCTTGTAAAATTCAAGACAAAACACATCATACTTAAGGTGACATTTCTCAGTGTCTAAACACACTTGAAGTAAAGAATTTATTTGAAGGCTAAAGGAAACTATTAAAAGCATGCCTTAGGAAATATGACTATGAACTGGCAAATCAAATAAATAGAAGCTGTTATATAAAACAGACAGAGCTCAGTATTTACAGATACTTTACACTGCTAGCTTTCCCTCTTTGAGCTGTTTTTGACACTTTCCCTACAGTTAGATGGGACCTGTTTTGCAGTGCATTCATTCTATGGCACTGTTCATAACTCATCCTTTCATTAAAAGAGAAATTTGTTCTTTTGACCAATATTTCTGAGGATCTAAGCTGTGGAAAGAAACCAGCATTCTCAATTTCCCATAAACTGTTGCTTTAGCTATTTTAACTTGGCATCAGAGACGCTGCTTTAGTTCCAGTTACTCTGAAGACAGAATTAGCAGCCTAAAGAAAACTTTTACAAGTAAAGTACTGTTGTGTCAGCAAGTCTGGCACTAAACCCTGTAGTATTTGCCAGCTCCCTGTAGTCCCCACCCAAGCTTCCTAACGTCAGCTGCATTTCCTATGAGTCTGTCAACGTTTGCTTGCAAAAGGCACACAGAGGATACTGTCTCGCTTAAGAAACAGCTAATATTAACTTGCTAGTTCTGTAAAAGGGATCTCTCTAAGCACAAGCTCCGCTACTGGAAGGAGATATCCCGAAGGACATTAAAGGATTAATGCGATATATTAAGGCAGAGAGAAAATGCTCAGAGAACTATATCGCAACTTTTTTTTTGACATAAGAACTCAAACCAGTAACAACTCAAAACTACATTCCAACCAAAAAAGCTTGAAATCTTCCTTTTTACAGACATTTTCTTTCTCACTGTTGTTGGTCACAGCAAACATGCACCATACTTTAGCAAATCACAACCTCACTGGGAGTTATCACACCTTTCTAAAAATATGACATTTTTATTTACAACAAGAAAATGGCCTAAGTTTAAGGGTTGAGTGGTGTTGGAGGGTTTTGTGTGTTTTGCTTTGTTGCGTTGTTTCTTTTAAAGGAGTCATTTAGAACTGAAGTAGATCTATGAAACTAAATAGAAGTAACTGTTCTAGTGTGACACCATAAAACCAGCCACTTAAATTCTGCTACGCTGCAAATGCTTCAGGAATATAAGTAGCTGTTGCTTCTGCTTAGCTCATATCAGGTATAATGCCAAAGTAATTTTAGGATTCAAGTTATTTTTCAACCTTCACCTTATATTCTCTTCCAAGTGTATGTCAGAATAGAACAATGAAAGTGAGCAGCATCATCCTGGGATACTTAGATAAAATAAAGTACTGACATGGTATAGTCTCCCACATACAAATCAGGCTTCCTGCACTGAAGTGTGGGCTACGTACTATTATCCACTATGGACTCCATCAGTCAGTCACCTTTATCTGTTTGAAATGCTATTTAAACAGGTAGACCCATAATCACTCTAAGTCAACTGTCCAGTTTCCAAAACGGTTCATTAGGTTTGTTCACCTTTAAATGCATGAAGCACAGCATTCTAATATTATTTTATGAAAAATTACTGAGGCTTTAATTAGAAGCCATCAGTTGCAACATTTAATCACAACCTATTATTTTAATTGTACTGTAAGGAAAAAAAAAATCCCACTTACCAATAATTGAGAACAAGTTAAACATTTATTTCTTTCAAGCCGATACTTATGCAAGCCATTGTAGCTTTTAGTATGCCAGGATAAGCATGAGATGATGAGATATCAACACACATGAGGAAATATGAAAAACCCAAGAACAATGCTTCAAATATAACATTTTGACATTTTCAAGAAAAGACACCATTGTGAAATTCTGAAACAAACTGCTGTCATCAGAAAGCAACAGCTTTGGGACAGAAGTTACGATCAAAAGTGTACTTCAAGTGTCTTTCACTGAGACCCCATTCTGCAGACTGGCACTTTGAGACAGTAGTTCCTACCAGTTCAAGACAACAGGAAATTATATTAACAGTATTTTCTTATAATGAAAACAATCTGCACTGAAAAAAGTAGTTGTAAAATAATCAGACTGCAGGATTTGTCTACACCATGCTTAATTAATGATGAAAAGTTTATCAGAGAAACAAAAATAGAATTCTGAGTCCAACTGGACAATCCAGTGTGTTTCAAGGGTCAGCAACAATAATGTGTTTATTCACTACAATTTCATAAGCATTTTGAACTAGAGATGCTTAGGTATGTTCAAAGGCAACTGAAAGAATAAAACCTCAAAATGAAAACAAGGCGTTCTTTTTTCAGGCCACTGATGTTTTCACCCCCAATCTTTCTTATTAAACATAAGCTTGTACAAGTTCATGATTGTTACTGAACCAAGGATTTTCTTCCTAAAAACGACTATGGCATTTGTAACAAATCTATTACAGGGTCGCAACAGACAATAAACAAACGTTCAAAACACTGTCTCAACAAGTAACTGGATTTCTGCATTTTAAAATAGCCTCAGGAACCAAAAAGAACAATATAGCATAATCTGGTTTAGAAAACACACTGTTTGGAGTTGGTTTGGAAATTAGAGTTGTTCTTGTATTTGTGATCATCCCTGTGTCATCATGCCAGTATCCATTTCTGTTCAAGAAGCTGTGTATGACAGAACACTAGTCGTACACCATGCGCGCACATAAGCATAGTGTGAACACGTAAATGCAAGAGTAAGATTCTAGCAGGTTTTCACCTCAAAATACTTATTTCTTTAAGCAGTAAGGTGAACAAGTTAATTATACAGAAAAAAAAAAGTGAAATTCTTTCACAAAACTGACAACCAAAACTCACATCCACATTTGTACACATTTTCTTGACGTTCTGGTAAGTAATAAAAGGCAGCTTGAGCACATGAATTATTTGTTTCATATTAATAGAGGAACCAATCAAATCCAGCATGGTTTTCAGTAAAAAATAAGTCAGTCTTATGCTATAACTGACACTAATATTTCTCCTTTGATACTGCACCACACTAAGCCAACAATAGAGTGCAGATCATTTACT